CATGACACATCACATGCCATGACACATCACATGCCATGACACATCACATGCCATGACACATCACATGCTATGACACATCACATGCTATGACACATCACATGCCATGACACATCACATGCTATGACACATCACATGCCATGGCACGCACGACATAGGGGAAATCAGAGGAGCCTCCACGACCCACAGGGAATTCCCAGGCAGAAGTTGATATAATGGGTTGCAGTGGGGTACAGAGTGGTGAAGAGCGGTGTGGAGTGGTAGAGAGGAGTTCCGCCAAGCCTTGAAGGAGGAGCTGACAAGCTTGAGAGTGTGAGGTCCAAGAGCAGCCTCCAGGAACACTTGCAGTGACGAAATCTGGTGCAATGGGATGCAGAGCGGTGAAGAGCATTGTGGGGCGTTGAAGAGGAGTGAGCATTCACGCACCTTGAAGTAGGAGTTGTCGAATTCGAGCCACTGCACGGTCCATGAGGCGCCTCCTGGCCGACCCGGGCCAGCCTTCTGCAAGAGGGAGTAAGGAGAGAGAGGAACAAGGGGGACGAGGGGGATGAGTGGGGTGAGGGAGAGAGAAGAGGGAGAGAGTTGGGGGTGGGAGGGCTTGAGGCATTGTATGGGATGGCTTTCGAAGCGACTCAAAAGTCATGCATGCACGGTGCAAGAGGAGCCTCCAGGGAGACCCGGGCCATCCGTCTGAGAGCGAGGGAGAAGGGAATGAGAGGAACGAGGGGCCTCACCTCTCTGCACTGCACTGCACCACGAGAACTTTAGGCTAACGTCTACCAGTAGGAAAGCACATTGTCCGACTGTGTGCGAGTTGGCTTTTGAGTCGACTCAAATGTGTACCAGTAGGAAAGCACATTGCCTGACCGTGTGCTTTTGTGGACTCTTTGGCCCACAAATCACTGCTCCATGCTTCACAAATCAGTGCACCACACTACACCACATTGCACCGCACTGTACTGCACTGCACTGCACTATACTGTACTGCACCGCACTGCACCGCGCCATGGTCTCTCACCGTGTACTTGGTGGACTCCTTGCCAAAGCCGCTGCGGTCCGGATGGGCCCTCCCCAACGTGTGTGCTCCTGACAGCGCCACTATCTCCTGTTGAGTTTCCCACACGCACAGGGAGGCACACACACAGAGAGGATTTGTACAAGCAAGCTTACAACAATTTCTATATTAAACATAAGTCACTGCCACGCAAACTCCCCCTTGCACCCAAATTGGGCCTCCCGAATGAGTGTGCTCCTGACAATGCCACTATCTCCTGTTTTCCTCACAAGCACAGGGCGTAACAAACACACACACATGCAGATGGGCAAACACACGATTTTGAGTCATGTTTTGAGTCGACTCAAAACTCGGGATGGGCCCTCCCCAATGTGTGTGCTCCTGACAGTGCCACAATCTCCCGCTCCTCACACGCACAGGCAACCATACAGGCAGGCAGTAACACGCAATTGTTGGTGGCGCACACACACAAGACAGCGCCACCACCTCCTGTTTCTCACATACGGGCAGTCAGACCCACTCTCTCTCTCTCTCAAGTCGTCTCAACAACACACAGTCACACTCACCAGAATAAAACGGCAACAGTGATACGCTAGTCCTAACGGTGCCGCCTCACCTGGTCGTTGAGCCCCATGCGGTAGAACACCTTGCGCAGATGATCTGCTGGGGAAGGAGGAGCCCCCGCTGCAGGTGAAGGAGCAAGAAGGGAACCGGGAGGAGAGGGAAGATGCAGAAGATGGAGAGTAGTGGTGGGGGGGAGGAAAGGGAGGGCGAAGAGGAAAGGGAGGGCGAAGAGGAAAGGGAGGGCGAAGAGGAAAGGGAGGAGGGGGATGAGGAGAGCGAATGGGAGGGAGGGAAAGGGAGGAGGGGGAGGAGGGGGAGAAAGAGGTGGGAGTGGAGAGAGGGGAGTGCAGGGCGAGGGATGGGGAGAGGGCGGGAAAAGGAAGGGAAGCAGGGATGCGTTGACGAAAGGGAGATAACTACCTGGCAACTTCTGTTCCACCAACGTAAGTAGCGTGTGTTTCTTTCAGAAGAAATTTCGTGGTAACTTCGAGATAAACCAATAGCAGCGAATTCTGAGAAAAAAACTATTGACTGGGTCTTATTTTCCAGTATCTGCCTTTGTAACCCCCTGTTCATATAAAAGAGCGGCTGTGTGTCCTTCCCCCTATTCACCCCTGAACTGCCCTTTACAAGGTCCTCAGTACTACGAATAACAGCAATGCGTTGCTTGCATATCATAGATTATCTCGGCTCTTCTTTGGCGATAACTACCTGGCAAGTTCTGTTGAGATCACCTGGCAGGTTGCCATCAGGTGCGCAGTCCTCAGGGCTGGTGGCATCCACTCGGCCGTACCTCATGGGGATGACAGGCCCGCCTGCAAACTGGGGTGGGGTTGGATTGGATCGGATCTGATTGAATCGGATCGGATGGATTGGATGGATTCAGTCGGGTGTTGGGTTGGGTTGGGTTGGATATGATTTGTTTTTTTGTTGATTTGATTGGATTGGATTGAGTTGGATTGGATTGGATTGCATTTGATTTGAACTGATTCGATTCAACTGGATTAGACTGAATGTATGATACGTGGAAGTATGATGCCCCAGCCAGCCCTGCAGTGAACAGCTGTAGCACAGGAAACGAGTTCCCCATTCCCACTCACCTCAACGGCTGTAGCGCTGGCGAGTTGGAAGAGATCAGCCCAGCTGACGGCAGGGAAGGCGTCCTTGACCGGCTGTAGCAGCGCGATGGCTCCATCCATTCCCTTGTTGGCGCCGTGGTCAATCTCCGGGCGGAAGCGAATGCTGCCGTTGGCGCCGCCCTGCTTCGGCCACTCGCCCACACTCTTGTCGAACGTGCCCGCGTCGTGCCAGCCCAGGCGAATCTGCGCAAAGGAGGGGAGGAGGGAGGCAATTCATGCGGCAGAACGGAGATGCAGCTCTGCTGACAGCTGTGAGCTGTACTGACGATCGTACAACCGAGTTCAGTACTGGATTTGATATTGGATTCCGTACTGGAGTCACCACTTGAAACGGTAACTTGACACGGTAACTTGACACGGTAACTTGACACGGTAACTTCAAACGGTAACGTACGAGAATGGGGTTGCACGACTTGCTCGTGATGATGTCCTTAATCGCCTCGCGCGCCCCGCGCAGCTGCGCCACGTCAGCAGACGCGAACACGTGCCCGGGGCGCACGGAGGTTGCTCGCGGCTTGCGGAACGTTGCTACCCGCAGCGCCTTCCTCTGTAATGGCGCCACGTGGACACGGGTGAAAAGGGAAGGGGGAGAGAAGGGGGAGGGGGAAGGGGAAAGGCGGAGGACGGGGAAACGAAGCGGGGAAAAAGGGGAAGTGGGGACGGCAGGGGGAAGAGGAGGGGAAGGGGATAACATGCAAAAGTGCGCTGCTCTTCCGCCGGATTTCCTTCGCTTTTTAGATTTCTCATCGCGTGCGTTGTCCGGACGCTATTTATGAGGCGCCTAAAAAATGTAATGCGAAGATTCCACACACGTACGTTGACGGGTCGCGATGGGAGGAAGTCGCTCGTAAGGGCGGCGGAGGCGCGTCTGGAGAAGCCAGCGGAGGATGCGGTGAGGGAACACGTGGCGGACTGCCCGCATCTCGGGGCGGAAGGCCCCGCAAGACGCGCGGAGGCAGCGGAAGGAGCGGCGAGGGTTGCGGACGCCATGGCTGGGGGAGGAGCGCGGGGAGCGGCAGAACGAGAAACGAGACGCGAAGAGCGACGGGAAACGAGAAACGGGAGCTTGACGGAGACGGCGCGCGCGGGGCCACACAGCCGAACCGACGGTTGCGAATGGTCTCGTGTGCGGAGTCGCGATTCTCGAACACTGTTCTGAAAGCAAGCACGGTAAGGGCGTGTCTGAAGTGAATTTCGACGTTTGCCGACGAAACTTTCGTCGACGTTCCTTGACGAAACTCGACATCCGTTTTCAGCTGTGTTCACTTCAGACACCCACACGACAAAATAACCCACACGTGCCATAGGAACACTGTTATAAGTTGCCCATGAAAATTCGACGTGGAATTAACAGAATCATTCATGTAACTCAATTGTTTGCAATCTCGCGAATTTCGCTTAGCATAGATTGTTGCTGGTAACACCGGATATTCTACTGTCACATTGCCAGCGAAATTTCTCTAGCACGTGTCGCTCTCGTCTTAGTTCTTATTCACGTGTGTTTGCCACAGCTATGCAGACATGGCGTGTCGAAGAATTGTTTGTGAAACACTCACTGACTACAGTGACTCAAACAGCTGCCCGGTATCACTGTTCGACATCCCTCGACATGTGCACGAACGTCGAGTTTCGTCGAGGGATGTCAGGCTGCACTTCAGACACCAACACGCGTGGGTCCCACGGATGAGTTTCGTCGACGAAATTTGACGAAACTCGACGTTTGCACTTCAGACACGCCCTAAGCAAGTCCTAGTGAGCAAGCGAGCTTGGTTGAATGATGGTGCTGAGCCTGGTTGTAATTTGTGGAGTGCAGCAGATGTGGCGATGGAATGCAATTTGTGCTTGTCTTGGCTAAAAACCTCATCTGACCGTTCTGCAAGGCCGACAACCGCTCGGTCACGCAATAAATGCCACTCAACCGCATTGCAGAGGACACGCACACATGGGTGATGTTGGCACACGGCAACTTCGAGGTGAGGTGTGGTAGTGCGGGGAGATCGATGCTGGCGTGGCAAATGTGATCACTGACGTGGAGAGCGACACGATTCACGATGACAGTTCGCCACGATGCTTTTAGGGCGACAGCAGTATCTCCGTTAACAACGCACCGCGCTAGCGCAATGATAATTGAAAAAGCGCCACAAGAACTAGGTATGTGCACAATCTTCAGTTTGCCTTTTTGTCTCAGTAGTATAAGCCAACAGCATGAGTATAAGTTATATTCACATTGTTTAGGGGCGTATACCCTCCCTTCAACTCCAACTCTCATCTAACTTGTTGCACCCTTACTCATCCTCTCCCTCCTCGTCCTCCTCTTCCTCCTCCCCGTCCTCTGACTCATCCTCTTCCTCCTCATACTCCTCCCCCTCACTCTCCTCTTCTTCCTCACTTTCATCCTCAAACTCCACCACACTCCCACCTCCATCACTCTCCTCTTCCTTCTCCTCCCGATCCTCCACACTCTCCACACTCCCCTCTTCCACACTCTCACTCACTCCCCTCACACCTGATGCCGAACCTGGCCTCTGCCTGACATTGGCACTAAAAACACCTGAGCCTCTAACTGCCCCTCCAGGTGCCCTACCAGGTGCCCACGCAGGGGCAGCATCAAAAGCAGCACCCCGTGCACCACTAAACCCGCTTCCCGTCCAAACCGCCCCGCTCCCACACGACATAGACACGCCTGGCATGTCCTGCCACTCCCCATCCCTCCCACCTCTGCGCCCGCGCTCTCTCCCTTCACCCCCTCCTGCCCCTGCCCACCGGGAAACCATCGGCCGCCCCAACCCCAATCCCACGCTAGACACAAGTCCCTGATCTGCAGGGCCTGGCTCCGCCCCTAGTCCTTCTTTCCAGGGAGGAAGTGGCGACAGCTCATCCTGCCTGCTCATCCCGTAATCATCACCATCATCACCATCACCATCATGTCTCCCGGTCGTACTCATCACCTCTGTGCCGCCCTCCTCCTCTCGCTCGTCCAGCGACCGCATGGCCGGGCGGCGTCGGTTGGAGGTACTGTGCCGCCTCAGGAGCGACGTGCCGCTCCCCGCTGCTGAGTACCTCCCTGCCAGCCCTGTGCCCCTCGACCCGCCCTCTGCTTGTAATCCTCCTCCCCTGCCAGCCCCTCCTGTCCCACCCACTGCTGCTCTGGCATCATCCTCATCTGACCACTCCTCCCCATCCGAATCCCCCGCGTTGCTACCACCATAACCATTACCACCACCACCACCACCACCACCACCACCACTCATCCCACCGCGCCTCCTCCCCTCTCCTCCACCATACCCTCGCACTCCCCCCGCCTCCCTTCCCTGCAGCCCCACATGTCCCCTTTCCTGGAAGGACCCAGTGCTCGCCCATCTGCCATTGTATCCCCTCCTATGGTACTTGTCATGTCCTCCCAACCTTCCCCCGAACCTCTCCGTCAGCCTCTCCCCGAACCTCTCCCCAAGCCTCTCCCCATGCTCCTCCACACACTCCTCCCCCCACTCCTCCTGCTCCTCCAAGTCCCTCAGCCTCTCCCCACCGAACCTCCCACTCTCCCCGAGCCTCTCCCCAAACCTGTTGCGGCTGTTTCGGCGAAGCAGGCTCCGGTCCGGGGCAGTCTGAGGGCGCTCCTCTCTTCTCCCAAACTCCCACTGCGCGTGCTGCTCATCAGAAGCTGGACCAGCAGCCGAATACCCACCGTCCCCTTCCCAGGGAAGTACCCCTGGATTTTGCTGAGGGTAATTACTGATTACACCCAGATTATCGACGGAAGAAGGGCGATCCGGGGAGTCCCAGGGATCGGGGACGAGGTCTCTAGGGAGAGGCGACTTCTTGGCATGTGGCAGGGCGTGCAGGCGATCGAACCGCGGGCTGTTTGCTGCTATGTGCGGGCTGCTGTTTGCTGCTACGCGTGGGCTGCTTGCTGCTACATGCGGGCTTAGCACGTTGGGAAGCAAACGTGGGCTCTGAAGGTGGCTCCAGCGCCCACTGCTGCCCCTGCCCGCACCAGAAGCAGAAGCAGGGCCAGGAGTCAGGCGAGAGAGCGAGTCGGGTGCTAGATCGGAATCAGGTTCTGTCAGGTGGATTCTCAGGTGGGGACCTGGGAGGCGGGCAGGCCGGTCGCGTGTGCCAGTGGGAGGGGAGGAGTGAGGGGCAGTGCTGGGACGAGTTGGGGCAGGGCGGGATGAGAGTGAAGGAGGGAAGGGGTCTTCTTGGTTATATGCAGTGGGGGATGGAGGGGTATGAGGGGAAGGAGGGTTTGGAGGGGTGGAGGTAGAGAAACGGCTGTGAGGGGAAACGAGGAGGAGAGAGGACGCAGCAGCAGGTGGGCGGGAGGGAGGGGAGGGGCGGCGAGGGGAGGGGATGGGGAAGCGGGGGGACCTGAGGGGGAGGTGGTTGGTGTGGTGGGGGAGGGAGTGGGGGGAGCGGAGGGCTGACGGGGGGAAGGGTTGGCTCATGGCAAAGGCGGACGGCAGAGCAGAGCTGTTCCAGCTGTCATGGGTTGAAGCAGAGACAGAGACAGAAGGGCGGGAGGCGAAGGGGTTGGGGGGGTTGAAAGGCTGGCTCATAGCAAATGCGGGGGGCAGAGCAGAGCTGTTCCAACTGTCATGGGTTGAGGCAGCAGCAGAGACAGCGGCAGAGGCAGAGGGGCGGGAGGCGAAGGGGTTGGGGGGGTTTCGGTGATGGGGTGCAGGCGCTTGGGAGGCGGAGCGGGGGGAGAGCGCGTGTTTCCTCCGATAGTGCAGAGAAGATGCATGGTAAGCAGAGGCGGAATGGGTGGAAGCAGGGACGGCGGAGTGAGGGAGCGGGGCGGCATTCCATGAATCATGCGCTCTTGCAGCAGAGGACGCGGAGGAGGAGGAGGCAGAGGAAGGGCGGGCAGGGGAAGGGCGGGCAGGGGAAGGGCGGGCAGGGGAGGGGCGCGCAGGGCCTCGGCCTCTGCCTTTGCTCAACAGGCTCTGACCAGTGAAAGCACCTGGGGGCCTGGCAACACTGAAAACACCTCCCCCAGAAGCATCCTGATTGCTTAAATCGTCTACGTTCATGAGAACAAACCTCTCTTCTTGCCCCTCCGCTCCCTCCTCCTCCTCTCCCTCCTCCTCTCTCTCCTCTCCCTCTTCCTCCTCTTCCTCTTCCTCTTCCTCCTCCTCCTCAGCCACCCACACATCTGCCCGCCCCTGCACTCCGTTATCATCTGCATCACACTCTCCCACACCCACTCCTCTCGTGCTCCAGCCCACACTCTCGCTCTCCCCCTCCTCCTGCTCTTCCCACACCTGCTCCTGTGGTTGCTGATACTTGCGCTGCTGCTGCCACGGCTGCTGCTGCTGCTGCTCCTGGTATGATACAGAGTCACCCCACGGCAGTTGAACCTGCTCTAGTTCCACCTGATCCAGTTCTACCTCCCCCCAGCCTACCTGCCCCTGATCCACCTCCCCCACATGCTGCCAGCTCTCAGCAGTGAACGGCCGGTGCGGCATCTCCAAGGAAGCAGACGACCGATGCCGCCCAAGCCGACTCCTCTGGCCCTTTTCACCCCTGCCACCATCCCCACTGCTGCTGTTTCTTGGAAACTTCTCCAAACCAGCATTCCCACAATCAACACCAATCCTATCCATATCACCATCACCACCATCACCAGCACCAATCATATCACCATCAGCAACCTTGCCGCCCCAAACCCCATCCCCTAAACCCACGCCTCCCCTGCCTCCCGCCCCTGAAAGCACCGCTACAGAAGCACTCCTGCCGTGCTGCGCCGACCGCTGGCCGCACTTTGCGACACTGTTCATGAAGGCCGGGCGGCGCGCTCCCAGCTCGTTGAGGAAATCGCGGGCTTCTGACGCCGCCCGACGGTGGCGGGAGTTGGAAGATAGCGGGCTTTGGGCTGAGGCCGGGCGGCGAAGAGAGGATAGGTGAAGAGAACTGGGGAGAGCTGCTGCTGTTGCTGCTGGCGCTGCTGCTGCTGCTGCTGCTGCTGCTGATACCCCTGCTTCTGTCCCTGTCCCGTTTAATGTGTTGCTTGTTACTGCTGTTGACGTGACTTTTGGTGCTGATTCGGCTGCTGCTTTCCCTTTGCTGCTTGCCTCTAAAGTTGTGGTTTCACCTGACTCGATACCTGAAACAGGAGCATTTGCCACAGAAACACCTGAACCAGCAGAAGCAGGATCTGAAGTGGCAGCACCTGAAGCGACATCTGAAGCAGCACCTGAGGCAGCAGCAGCACCTGAAGACGCTCCTACAAACACCCTAAGGCCGGCAGCAGGGCTGTCAACCGAAATATCCGACTCTCCTGGTGGCGGGGTCAGCAGGAGCGACAGGCGAGCAGCTGCAGCTGCTGTAGCACCCGGTTCAGCTACAGCCAAGCCATTGTTAGCAGATTCCCCAGGCTCTTCATCCGGGCCCTCTCTGCGTGCAGCCGTGGGGCTGCTGCTGGTGCCTGTGGTGGAGTGTTGGAGCAGGTGGTGCAAGAGATGGGGCAGGTGAGGGATGGACTCCTCTTCCTCTGCACCGGCTGCATCAGCAGCAGAGGAGGTGTGGGGTATGATGCCCCAGGGCTTTCGAGACTGCAGCGACGACAGGGAGGACGAGAGAAACGCTTGCTCCTTAACCGCTCCCCCTGCTCCCCCTCCTCCTGCTGCTGCTGCTTTCCGCCCGCCCACTCCTGTGAGGGAGGCTGTTTCCCGGGATGTGGGAGTTGAGGGCAGGGAGAACGCTGTGATGCCAGGCCCAGTATCACCACTGCTCCCAGCCCTCCCACATCCCACACGAGAGTGATTCTCTCGCGACTGGCGAGACTGCTGCTCCTGCTGCTTCTGCCGCTGCTGCCGCTGCTGCTGCTGCTGCTGCTGCTGCTGCTGCTGCTGCTGCTGCTGCTGCTGCTGCTGCTGCTGCTGCTGCTGCTGCTGCTGCTGCTGCTGCTGCTGCTGCTGCTGCTGCTGCTGCTGCTGCTGCTGCTCATAATGCTGCTGGTAATGATGCTGTTGCGAGAGAGCAGCAACGGGCATACCCGTGGGCGACAGCGGCAGCAACGAAGCCTCGTCCTCCCCGCCTCCCTCTCCCCCACGCCCGTCCAGCAGTCCCGGTTCGTACACACCCGGATCCAGCAGACAAGTATCCGGCAACAGCTCGACCCGGGGAGGGCTGAACCGCCCCTTGAGAAACTCCTTGAAGCTGCCCTCTCGGGACCTGCCCCTGCCAGACCCCGTTTTTGCTAACGCTCTTGCAAGGGCCTGGGAGGAACCCGAAACTGGTCGCGAGTTGAGAGCTGATTGTGAGTCTGAAGAGTAACGCTCGTCTCCCATGCCTTCCCCTCCTGCCTCCCTTGCTCCTTCCCCTCCTCTGTCCCTTTCTTCTTCCCTTCCACTTTCCCCTCTCCTTGCTCCTGTTTCTCCTCCTTTCCTCCGCCCCCATATGCCCCAGAATTTCCTGCCGGCGCCCTGCCTCTGTGCGTCCGCACTCCCATCCGGCTCTTGGCTAAGCGTTTCACTTACCGAGTTATTGTAGCTCACAGACTTCTTCATCAGCGAAGGGCTACTACCTCCCACGCCCTTCCCCTCCCCACTCCCCACACTCCCTCTTCTCCCATCCGGCTCTTGGCTAAGCGTGTTACTTACAGAGATATTGTAGCTTACGGATTTTGTCATCAGCGCAGGGATATTAGCTCCTCCCACGCCTTTCCCCTCCCCACCCCCCACACTCCCCCTTCCGCCGTCCCACCTTTCCCCCAAATCCGACCCGCTCCCCAGCCCCTCTGCGTCTCCTTGCGCCAGCACACAATGCTCCGCTATGGAGTGCTCCACTATGGATGGAAAGGTGCTTAGTGAAGCGCTTTTTCTATGCCTGCGGCCCGTTGGGATCAGCTTGGAAGGGCCAAAAGGGGCGAAAGTGCTGCTTCTACCAAACGCGCTGCCACCCCACCCTGCCTTCTTCCGCTGCCCTTTTTCCCATCCTGATTCTGCGCTTTCTCCCTCTCCTCCTCCTCCTCTTCCTCTCTCTCCACCTGCACCTCCTCCTGCTGTTGGTATTCTTGGCGATCGAAGCACACTGCTGCTGCAATCTCCCCCGCTGCTCTCCCCCTCGCACTCCCCGTCCCTCTCTCTTCCACACGCCTCGCCCCCCCTCGTTCCACCAAAGTCAAGCAGGCGAATAGAGTCCGCGGAACGAGGGTGGGGGGAAGACTGGAGCGGGGAGGCGGGGCGGGGCGGCCGCGAGTGCGCGAACGGTGAGGGGAGCGGATGGGCGGCGGGCGAGGGGGGTGGGTAGGCGGAAAGCGAGGGGAGGGGGTGGGCGGAGGGTGAGGGGAGAGGGTGGGCGGAGGGCGAGGGGAGGCCGTGGGCGGACGGCGAGGGGAGGGCGTGGGCGGAATGCGCGGAGAGGCGTCCGGAGGAGGGGGAAGGGGATGAATCCGCAGCCGCCCAACTGGCCGCGGGATGCGGGGACGTGGCGGATGAGGAGGGGGAGATGAAGACATGCGCACGCGGAGGAGGGTTACCAGCTTGGTGGAAGATGGGCGGCTTTGGGGAGAACGGATTGCGCGCGGCCATTAGAGGGGCGAATAAAGGCGACACGAAATCAACAGATAACGATCTCCTGTGCGCTCGCTCCCTTCGACCCCCTCCTGCCCCTCCCCCTATCCCTCCGCCTCCCCCTCCGCCGGTACCAGGCTGAATTCTCACCCGCCGGCCCCCGCCCCCGCCGTCTCCCACAACCCCTCCGCCGATTCCCGCCGCTCCCCCTCCCTCATCACTCACAAGTAAATCATCCTCTCCTCCCCCACTCCCGCTTCCGCTCCCCAGCCCGCCCCTGCCCCCGCCCCCGCCCATGCTCGCTTTCAGACTAGACGAAGTGCGGAACCCTAACGCGCCTAGTCCCGCCCACCGCAGCGGACTGAAAGGCATCCGCGGACTATTCGCGCAACTATTCGTCGCGCTTCCCGTCGCGCTCCCCGCGCCCCTGCTCGAGTGCGGGCTTCCGCATGGGCTGAATCCGCTTCCGCCCGCGCCAGTGCGCGCGGGAATTGGCGGAAGAAACTTGGGGGAGAACGACTGGAGGCGGGAGGACCTTCCGCCACCGCCGCCCCCGGGCAAGGGGCTGGTTTGCGGAGTGTCGTCGAGGCTGGTGGAAGCGGGAATGGCGAGCGGCGGAAGGGCGTTGGCGGAGAAAGATACGCGGTCGGAAATTACGGAGTGACACGTGTCACCGTGTGAGCGGTCAAAACTGCCGGATCGTATAGGACTCAACGCGCGTCCTCTGCTGCGGCTTCTCCTCCAACTCCCAGTAATACCGGCAGCGCCGCTTCCTTCTGGGTTTCGTCCGGTTCGTCTACTCATTCCCCTCAGAGCATCGTCCCCTGACGAGAATCCCCCAGAGTCACTAAGACCTGCTCCTGACGCACCTGCACCCATTGTTCCTCCCTCCCCCTCCCCCTCCCCGCCTCCTCCGCTCACCGAAAACGCCCTGGGCCCGAACCTGAACCGGCTCGGGCTTTTCAGGTCCAAACCTGAGGCTTGGCCGAGGAACCAGAAAGGCTCGGATAAGCTACGGCTGCGAGAATGGCTGCCTTTGGCGCGCCTGCTCTTAGCGAATAACGCGGACGGCTGTAGGCCGTCCGGCGGCGCCAGCAAGCGCGGGCTGGGGGACGCTGACGTGGCAGCCGCAGGACCGGCGAGAGAACCGGCTGCTGCCACGTCAGCGGATGAAAGGTGCGGGCTGGCGGCACTAGAGCCTACGTCCGACGCGTGATGAGTCCCGAGAGGGGAACTCGCGACAGACGTCGAGGCTTGGGAGAAGGAGAAGGGGGAGAGCGAGAGGAACGCCGTTGATGACCGCGACCGACCGTGCCTGGACGCGCGCTTCGGAGTTGGCGGCATTCCCAAGGGAACGCCCCCTCCCGCTGCTGCTGCTGCACCGGCGTCTCTGCTGGTTCTGCTGCTGCTCGCAGTGCTGCTACCGCAGCTCGGCCCCGCTTCTCGCGGGCTCGCTCCTACTTCCCGTCTTCTTCTTCCTCGACCAAGAAGGTTCGCAGCAGCTTCGATTGTCGACACCGACCTCTCTCCCGAAACCTCGGCCGCCGCCGCCGCCGCCGCTTTCTCCTGTCGCTGCTCTTTGTCCACCGCCGCAATCGCCAGTGCCGCTGCCTCCGCAACGGTCACATGTGGCGCGGAACGACTGCCCTGAGCCGTTCGATCGAGCGACGGCCCCCGCGACCCGATCTCAGGCCGTAAATCTGCCCCTAATGATCCCGAATGAAGTCCTGGAAACGCGGTACTAAGTGGCGTGGCGTCAGCATTGGCGTCAGCAGTGTCATCAGCAGTGGTAGCAGCAGCATTGACAGCAGGAGACGCAGCAAGCCGGCAAGGACCTTCCTTTGCGTCTACGCTAATCCTTCCCGAGCGCCGTCCTGGTGAATCGCCTTCGTCGGGCGAATCCCAAGATTCGGCGAGCAGGCTTTGCCCGAAAACCGGCAACGCGGCGACGGACGAAGGGCCTTCGCCGGCCGAGACTGCGAGTCTGGCAGTCATGGCGAATGTGCAGATCGTGGGTCCCATTTTCGGCGGACCTGCTACGTGCGGGTAGATTCTCGAGCCGCGATAGTAGCTACCCACGTCATGATCATCGTCCATCAAATAAGTTAGTAGGCGCTCCGCTAATATGTATTGTTTTCCAGAAGGAATCTTATCCAGTGGGAACAGAGAGCTGTCGCGTATCGGTCCAAACGCACGTTGGAGCTAAGTTTTTTTTTTCGACTCTCCAGTCTTCCTCAGACACTGGCGTCCATATGAACCCGAGGTACACAGGTTCACAATCTCCCTCCTGGTGGCTGACGCGTGTCATGGGAATTGGTCTCAAATCATGGATAGCATAGCATCCGTCTGACTGCCATGAATGCGCAACTGGTGTGACTAGGGAAAACAAACAGGTCAGGAGGACGGATGGGACGGTATGACAGAAACGGAACGACAGAAACGGGAGACCCCTTGGAATTGGTTTGTTGGATGAAAACGGAATGACATGGTCGAGGGGTTGGTGTTGGTTGGACGAGGTCCGAGGAGGAATCAACTTCCATGGTGAAGCGAGGCGTGGCGAGCAAACCTCGAGGGCAAAGTATGATTGGCGGTGAGGCAGGCCAATCATAGGTCCATTCCTTACCATTCCATTCCTGCCCCAATTCGGTTGTTTTTTCGAAAGAAATTATACCGCATCCAGGGAAACACTCTGGTGGTGGAATACTGTATAGAAAATGGTGCTTAGCCTGCTCCAAGAAGACTTTGGTGTAATACACTACGATACTACACTTCTGAAGGAACGACCCCTTTTTCCATTCCAGTCGTTCAACAAGCGCGGCATGAAACCAAGCACCAACATCCTCCGTAATTCCGGGCATGCCACAAAAGGCAGAGAAAGCGGACAAAACGGCCCACTGGAATTGGTATGACTCCTGCGAGTGGTTCCCTCAGGTGCAACAAATCAAAAATCTCGTGCAGCATCCAGGCATGGTGGGCAAATTGGATTTGTACCTGCGCAGAGCTCAACAAATCTCGCTGGCTACCACAACATTTCACTATTGAAGATTTCCACAAAACCAAAACAGGGAACTGAAGTTTTGTAAGGAAATTAAGTGTCTTAGTAAATCATTCACTAATTAGTACCATTCTCCACCCCAACTCATGGGTGGAAATTCATCAGCCCCCAGCATTTTCTAGTAGCACACTTTCAGGCGCACACTGTCGTACTCACTCTTGTTGGTGTTGTTGTATACAATGGTTGCCAAATCCTCTCTCGTGCTAAACCTTCCGGAATTTGTACAATATGCATTTGACACCAATGCTTCTACCATGAGCACCCATAGCCAGGGATGCATCAATCACATGGAATATATCATCACCTGGCACCCTCTCACTCAGCAGCAGCTGCTTATAATAACCAGGTACACCACTCCATTTAGCCACTAAGCCACAACCACAACCACATCCACTCAAGCGCGACTCTGCCCGCCCCAGAACAACCACTGCTGCTCAGGAGGCACCTGAGAAAACACCTGCTGCTGCTCCTTCTGGTCATTTACCTGCTCCTGTTGCTGCTGCTGCTGCTGCTGCTGCTGCTGCTGCTGTGAGTGATGCTGCTGTTGTTGCTGCTGGTAGTGTTGTTGTTGCTGCTGTTGCTGCCGCTGCTGCTGCTGCAGGAGCAGCGTCTGGTGCAGGTGGCCTGGAGCAGCAGGGGGCACTGCCTCAACGCCAGTGCAGCTCTCAAAGCTCCCCAGAAACACTGCTGCCCTGCTTCCTCCAAAACCTGCCTCAACACCAGAGCCAGGCCCTTGGACCCGCAGTCCAGCAGCTGCTTCTTGTGCTGTTGGTGCTGCTGTTGCTGCTGCTCCCATGCAAGAATCTGCAGGAGCCACAGAGCCAGGAGCTACTAAGGAAGCAGCCACTAATGGAGCAGCTACTAAAGGAGCCGCTGCTGCTGCAACAGAAGGCTCATAGCCTGGGGCCACACGAGGGGCAACAGAGGCTTTTTGGGTCGACTCAGAAATAGGCTCATAGCCTGGGGTTACACGAGGGGCAACAGAGGCTTTTTGAGTTGACTCAGAAATAGGCTCATAGCCTGGGGCCACACGAGGGGCCACAGAGGCTTTTTGAGTTGACTCAGAAATAGGCTCATAGCCTGGGGCCACACGAGGGGCCACAGAGGCAGGAGGCACCAAGTCGCTGCCACTGCTGCTGCAGCGGCTGCCATAGCTGCCCGTGGTCTGACACTGCAGCAGGACCTTCTCTCCGCCCGCTCCTCCCACACCACACGGGTGAAGTGATTCGTGTGACGGCACCACGCCGCCCAGTACTGACACTGGCACATTCTGCGGCTGCTGCTGCTGCTGCTGCTGCTGCTGCTGCTGCTGCTGCTGCTGCTGCTGCTGCTGCTGCTGCTGCTGCTGCTGCTGCTGCTGCTGCTGCTGCTGCTGCTGCTGCTGCTGCTGCTGCTGCTGCTGCTGCTGCTGCTGCTGCTGCTGCTGCTGCTGCTGCTGCTGCTGCTGCTGCTGCTGCTGCTGCTGTTGCTGCTGCTGGTGTTGTTGCTGCTGCGGCTGCTGCTGCTGCTGCTGCTGCTGCTTCTGCTGCTGCCCCTGCTTCTGCTCCCGTTGTTGGAGCAGAAGCATTTGCTGCTTCTCATGTTGTGAAAGGTCCATCTGTGTCCAAAAGCCAAGTTGCCGCTGCAGCTCATTCTGCTGCTGCTGTTGTTGTTGTTGCTGCTGCTACTGCTGCTGTTGCTGCTCCTGTTGTTTTTGCAGCTGCTGCTGCTGCTCCTGCTGCCGTAAAAAGGCGGCAACATCACCAGCAGTACCAGCAGCGGGACTAGCATTTGCATTAGCAGCAGCAGCAGCACCACCACCACCACCACCACCGGTACCAGCACCTGGGATCGACAGGGTAGGGGATAGGCCAGCTACCATGCCGGTTGAAGATGGGGTGGAGAGAAAGGGAGACGGGAGGTAAGGTAGGTATGGTGAAGGGAAGGGTGAGGTGAAAGTAGCAGACTCTGAAGCTGCTGCTGCTGCTGCTGGTGCTGCTGCTGCTGATTTCGACGGGACGAGGGGCGTTGACATGGGATGCTTGAATTGCAGCTGGAACGGTAGCAGGGAAGTGGGGTGAGAGAGGGAGAGTTGGGTGGGATGAGTGGGGGTCAGGGAGGAGGCGTGATAGAGGGGGAGGGTACAATAATCAGCATGGCATGGGGCGGCGGTGGTCCCTGGAAACAGACCGAGCTGCTGCTGCTGCTGCTGCTGCAGCTGAACCTTTTGCAGCTCCTGCCACTGGAGGAGCTGCATTTGCTGCAGCTGCAGCTGCTGCTGTTGCCCTGGCTGCTGCCCCTGCTGTGATTGCTCCTGGATATTCACCTGCGCCTGTAGCTTCTGCAACAGCAGCTGCTGCTGCAGCCGAACCTGCTGCTCCAGCAGCACCTGGCGCTGCTGTGCGTCCACTGCTTCAAGCTTCTGTTGCTGCTGCTGCTGCTGTTGCTGCTGCTGCTGCTGCTGCGCCTGTTGTTGCTGTTGTTTCTCTTGTTGGTACCGCTGTTGCTGCTCCATCAGCAGCTGGCGCTGCTGTGTGTCCATTGCTTCAAGCTTCTGTTGCTGCTGCTGCTGCTGCTGCTGCTGTTGCTGCTGCTGCTGTTGTTGTTGCTGCTGCTGCTGCTGCTCCTGCTGCTCCTGTTGCTGCTTTTGTTGCTCTTGTTGTTATTGTTGCTGCTGCTGCTGTTGTAGGTGCTGCAGCAGCAGCATCTGCTGTTGTCGCAAGCTTTCCTGCATTTGCTGCTCTTGCGCTTGCTTCTGTTGTTGCTGCTGCTGCTGCCGCTGCTGCGTCTGTTGTTCCTGCTGCTGCTGCTCCTCCTGTTGCTGCCTCAGTTGCTGCAGCTGCAGCTGCAGCTGAACTCGTTGCTGCTGCTGCTGCTGCTGCTGCTGCTGCTGCATCTGTTGTTGGTGCAACTGCCACTGGTGCTGCTGTTGTTGCAGTTGTTGTTGCTCTTGCTGCTGCTGCCGCTGCTGCTGCTGTGTGTGCTGCTGCTGCTGTTGCTGCACCATCCACTCATGCTGCTCCACGTGCTGTTTCTCAATGAAATCTCGAAGCAGCAGCTCTCCCAGGATGCGGTTCTTCCTGCCAATACGGAATGGGAGGAAGAAAGATGGAGGAGGGTGAGGCGTGTTCAAAGCAACGAGTGAGTCACAACACTGATCTACTTGAAACATCTCCTTACACAAAAGATGAATGAATAAATAAAGAAAGAAACAAACAATCACAATCACAATAAGATGGAACCACTCTCCTCATAGTAAAAAGAACAGCATTCAGCCGCTCACCCTTTGAAAATCTCTTTAATCTCCGGCTTCGCCTCGTGCCCGCTTTCTCTCCCACCTCCTCCTCGCCCTCCTCCTGACGCCATCGAGTCTCCGCCATACCCCACAGATATCTGGCTTTCTTCCTTCAAATAACCTGAATTTCCTCCTCCTCCTCCTCTTCCTCCTCCTCCCACCCCGCCCCCCCCTCCACTCTCCTCCTTTCCTATGCCCCCCCCCTCCCTCCTCCGTTTCCTCTTCTCCTCTTCTCCTCCTCCTCCGCTGCCTCTCTCCTCCCCTTCTCCCATTCTCCCCTCTCCCACCTCACTCCCCCCCTCTTTCAACTCGGCCCATTCCTTCGCCTCCCCCTTCCCCAGAAACAACCACTCACACGCTTCGAGTGACAGGTGTCCGAACGTCATTGGCTCCTGCCCGCTCGCTGCCTTTTTTCCTTCCTTCGTGCTGCTGCCCGCCCTCTTAGACCCCAGATCATAAGGAGGGCTTCCTCTGCCCGTTCCTCTGCCCGTTCCTCTGCCCGTTCCCCTGCCCGTGCAGCTGCTGCCACCTGCTGCTCCGTCTCCGCTGCTTTTCCGAGAAGCTATGCCTCCTGCCCCTCCCCCTCCTCCCTGCTCCTCCTGTACTTGCGCCCAGAAAAGTGGGTCAGGGGTGGCTGAAGATTGGTGCCATTTCCGGTGGATCTCCACGAATTTCCTGTCCAAATTCAGAAAGTTCCCACGAAAATGGAAAGGCGGAAACGAAAAGGAGACCAATAAGAGTGGAGAGGAGTAAACGTGGAGAGAAGAGATCGTCGGGCGAGAGGTGAGAGGGGAGAGGCGAGAGGGGAGAGGCGAGAGGGGAGAGGCGAGAGGCGAGAGGGGAGAGGGGAGAGGGGAGAGGCGAGAGGTGATGAAGCCGCGGCACACGTTTTGAGAGAGATAATTCAATTGCACGGTCAAGCAAGGGACGCGGTTGAGAGCGGTGCGGCTCACTTTTTGAGGAAGATGAAGCGGTTGCAGCACGCCTTGTTGTCGCGCAGGGGTAGCCGCCCGCTCTTCTCCAGCGCGCCCCACTGCTTCGTGCCCGCGCGCAGCGCATGGCGCAACAATACCGCGTCCTCCTGTGGAAGGGGGTTCGGGGGGAAGGGGGGAAGAAGGAGGGGAAGAGGAAAAGGTGAGAGGGCGGAATGGTGGGGGAGCATCCCCCTCTCTCTTCTCCAGCGCGCCCTACTGCTTCGTGCCCGCCCTCAGTGCATGACGCAGCAACACTGCGTCCTCCTGGAAAGGGAGAGGAAACGGGGGGAGGGAGGGGGGAAGAAAGAGAGCGGGGGTTGTTGGGGGAGCATTGCGCCCGCTCCCCTCAGCGCGCCCCATTGCTTCGTGCCCGCCCGCAGCGCGTGGCGCAGCAGAACCGCGTCCTCCTGGGGAGGAGGGAGTCAGGGGGAAGGGGTTGGGGGAATGTGAAGGGGGAGCGGGTGGGGGAGCATTCCGCCCGCCTCTTCTCCAGCTGCGTCGTGCCCGCGCGCAGCGCGTGGAATGGGGGGGAAGGCCGACTCCGCCAAGCATTGGGCGTCGAGGCGCCTCTTGACATACGGCAATCGTTCCGCCGTCACCGCAACAGGGGAACGACACGATGCGTATTCCAATTCGCTTTCCGGCGGCGGCGGACGACGCCCGCTTCGACGGCGGGCGGGCGGGGGGAGCGATGGACGGCGGAACGATTTGGGGGGATAGCGGCGGGAGGGGAAAGGGATGATGGGCGGAACGCGCATTGTTGCGACGTTGCGTCGGCGCAAGAGCCTAACAGCGCAGTGCCGTGCAAGGCGCAACAGCCCTCCGGAAATTCGCATCGCACGCGGGGGCGGAAGCGCGGGAGTTCTAGCCTCTACCCGGGAGTTCTAGCCTCTACCCGCCACATAATCGCTGTGGGAGTGTGGATGAGAAACAGGTGGTGATCCGCAGCGGAGGCGCTGGGAAAGGAGGCGGCGGGATTGACGCGCCGCGCGCCTTTGATTATGGAGCCGCATGGAACCGAACATGTAAACTTCTTTTTGAGTCGCCTCAAGAAATAATCCGCGTTCGTGGCGGCGCGGAACGACAACTGGCTGCTTTGTGAAATCTCATAAACACATGCGCCAATCCTTGGCACATCGAGCCGGCATTACCCTGCTACGGCATAGTAGTTACTATCAGTAAGGGTCGTAGGCGGAGTATGAAACTGGGGAGGAGGAGGAGGGGTACGAGCGCCGCGACAGGCGGATGACGTGTCCGCATCGCGGCCGAGGCGCACCTCTTTGGTCCACATGCGCGACGTCTGAATGAGCTGCAGCAGCGGATCAAACTGCGACTCGTAGTCATCGTTATCATGGCCGTCATGGTTATAGACGAGCCCGCCACCGCCGCCGCCGCCGCAGCCGCCGCCACCCGCCATCGTTGCGTCAGTCTAAAGTGCTGCGTCGCGTTCGGGTCGATCTGGGAAAATCTCCGTCACTGAGCCTAGAACTAACGGCGATATACAATTCTTCTCACTGGGATCGTTCTCGAAGAATTGACAGCTAGCGTCTCGACTTTCTTGCTGAGATTATGCCGCAGCCGCGCTTCTCGCGATTTCCTGCTGGAGAAAACATTAATCGAAGGATTTGCGCACATGATAGCCCGTCGGAATCGGACCGCAAGAAGGCTGTGACCAAGACGCGTTTGCAGGAAACAAGAAGCCAAAAGTCGTGGCAAATTGACAGCTTTCGCGAGGACGGTTATGGCAGAACGAATAGTAAACTTGCACGTCCGTCCTTCCTTTTCCATGGTTTCTACACTGCTCACTGCTCCCCTTGGTTCTAGAGGGGTGAAATGATGCCGCTGGTGGCAGCGGGAATAGAAAAAAGAATTGTGGGCCTGAAATAGTTTCCATAAGAAACTTCACGGTTCAGATCGAGTGGAAGTTCGACATTACGGACCGGATGAAGGCAGAAAGCGGCGATGCGATGCACGATGCGGATGGGGGGGGACCTCGATGAAATGGTGGGCGATGTAGTTCTGCCGCGCAAAACTCTTTTGACCAATCATTCTTCGCGCGCTTCGAATATACCAGAGGACCATGCGAGTAGGCCATTCCAGACGGTGATTCGTTTCGTCATCAACCAGACAGTCATGGCGTGACGAAAAACTCTTCTGTTCTTCGCTTGCTCGCCACCTGTCGTCGAACCCACGTTATGGCTCCACGCTGACGTTAGCGACAGGGGTTGCAGCGACAACAGTGATCTCTCATGGCCAGCCTCGTCTTTTCTCCGCAGGCTTCATTGTGAGTTGTGAGACCAGTGACCACTGGCCTCTTCT